CAACTAGGAGAAATCATCTAGTCGGTTTCTCGTAGCCGCTTACTGGACTCGATAAAAAAATTCGACCCTTTGGCCATGTGGCATCCTTGTTGCCCAGAACGGCAGCTATCGAAGCCCAGTCGGAATGGCTACCTGCATTTTTACTCACTAAAATGATTTTTAACCGACACCTTTAACGAACTCTAAAAACCGAATGTTCTAGAGTACTGAACCCGTTGTAAGGCTAAAGCGGACGCATCGTGTTGCCGGGTAATCGATTCTATTTGATGCTCAAACGTCAACCCAATGTCAACCAACTTATCTATTCGACAAGTCGATTCATACCCAGTGGCAATCGTTTGCATCGGCAGCCAGTTTATTTTTCCATAATAAATTATTTTCGAATAAATTTCATTGGAAATTCATCGAAAAGATACTTGGATAAGCGGCCCACTTGCATATTAACAAAAAAATTAAGTCAAATTTAATAGAGGTCATGGTCAAATTAATTAAATAGAAAGCTACAATAATAATAAAGATACGCACCATTTAACTGTCTTATTCTATCGATTTTGTGCTTTTATATTATATATTGTGTTTATTAAATAATAAATTTTAGTTGGAAAATATTTCTTTCAGATGACAGCTAGACAGATTAAACGCGAGAATCTTCGCGAGCTACACTTTATTGTGAGTCTAATGGTGAACATAGGGGAAAACGTGTTATGGGAAGTTTTCAAAGAAATTATTTTCCCATCGGACCTAAGCGAACGTCATGTTACTTTGAAACAGACGTCTTGTAACTAGTAGTGCGCCAAAAATACAATATAGAATTTAAGTCATCTTCCAGGAGACGAATAATACGGATCAAAGCGGAGGAAAGTAGCAAAAGTGCCAAGCAAATGTACTATTTTTGTTAAGTAATGTAAAAGTTTTTGAGAATGTATTAAAAATATATAACCTGTTCGACCTAGAATGAGACGAAGATAGCTAAATGTGAGCATTGCCCCTTTGTTTTCGGTACCCCCTTCCCCCTTCGATTTGCTCCTGTGTGCTCGATGCAGCAATGTCTTGGTCTCTACTATCCGTCTGGATTATTTGCGGCAAGAGAAAGACAGCAGGTTCACTTAAAAAAATCCTCAGATAATGACGCTCTATCAACTACACTATTTGGTACAGATTTCGATCCGCACCTACTTTGCTCAGAGGTAATTAGCGTTGCCCGGGCCATGCTTTGGGGAAAGTTTTGCGTCGAAGGGGTTTAGATATACGGCCGTTTAGATATAAAGGATAAAATCGCAGTGTGGAAAACCGTTCAAGTTCGACGGGAATCGCTTGAAAGCGCTGTTGAGGTAAATGGGGCGGGGCGTTAAACGGTTCGTGAATTAGCTGAAATGGGTAACTATGATCAAACGACAATCGTGGCCAAACTTAGCTTTAAGAAATTTAGATACCAGTCGAAATGGTAGCTGAGGGACGTATTAACCCAAAACACCTGAGTGACTTCTGTGTTACAGCGTGCCGTCCAGCCCCGTGTCACACGCTACTAGAAATGCTGTCGCCATGTCAGAATAAAAAGTAAACTTAGATGTAGGTCTATGCTTAAAATGCAGACTACAATGCGTAACTTATGTTAATTATTAAAGAAACATTTTTAGTGTTATATAGTTATGTTTTATGCTGTTTGATGCCGGACAAAGAACGGCTATTACATTTTAGCTGTAGTATTTTTTTTTCTTAAATAACCTATATTATGAAGTACGTTGGAATATGCAGAGTCGTATTTCTTGGATCTACTACCGTATCTTTAATTTAGTCATGGTATTTGTCACTAGCGAAAACGCTGCAGTAACGAGGACGTGGGCCCAATGACGAGGAACTGGTTCAGTATAAGTACAATAATTATAAAACGTTTGTCCATGACAATAAAATATATCAAAATCGTTATTTAAATTCAAGGACTATTCAAATAGTGGCTGTTGTTGATCTGCGAAATCGGTATAATCTGGTCAAGGGGTCTTGCCGAAAAACCTACACACATTATCCAAACTGAGTTTAGGCTAACATTCGATCCGGAAGATCAATCCAAAGTCTGTTGATGTACTAAGCAAGCAAACAGGCCAGGCGAACAATGTCCTGAGTAACTTTTAGACAATTGATTTACCAGCACCCTTTTACGAGTTACAGCAGCTCTGTTGAGGTGTTGTTGTTGTATACTGAAAATTGAATTATTCAAAGCTACACGGTTTTCATACAGATTTTATTTACAGGCATATTTGACCAACACAATCCATTAATTATTTTATACATATATATATATATATGTATATATATATATATATGTATAGATATATATATATATATATATATATATATATATCTTACTTTGGTTAATGTTTTGCTTTACAGTAGCATTGTACTTTAGCATAGAAAATAGTTAGACGAAGCTGTACGTTGTACAGTATATCGTGCATATTAGCTATAGCAGGCGCATTTGAAGATTGGTAAAAAAAAATCATTTTTACACCGATCATATGCTTTCTTTCGGTAATAGTTGTTTCCTATATGCGTAGTGTTGTTGTTAAAGCTTAAAGGAATTTGAAGCTCGCGGACTATAATACGACGTGTTATGATAGCATCTATCATAACTCTGTCTATCATGTGATCAAATAGAATACGGCTAAGTACCAACAAGCACGTCAAAAGATTACCACCGAAAACGAAGGCCTGCATAATGTCATAGAGGAAAGGAGGTTTGAATTGAAGTTATTTCACTGAGTCCGTAAATGCTTCATTATTAGCAACACTGGCACTGAGGAAGCATTTCTCGGTAGACGCCATTCAACTCGGTTGGGAGGGCTATAGACACGACCAGCTGGAGGTGGCTTGGGATTTATACCTGTCCGTTATCTTGGCCGGCGACTAGTAGATAAGGTGTTTTGTTAATTCAATATAACTCAAGATATGCTACTCAATTGATGTTTTTATGTTTTAACGGGTACTTAGTCAGTTATGGGCATATTTATATCCATAAGCAAACAACGAAACCCCTTTAACTAACTATTTCTGTCTGACAGGCGCTCGAAGTAGGGTAGTATCTCGTTGGATAGGAGTATATAAGGCGTTTAAAAGGCTTCACAACCGTATAACCTAAGTTTGACGGCAATCTTCTTTTTCTGCAAATATAGAAAAAAAATCGGCCATAAGTATCTCAGAGCACGCTAATGTTTGAGTAGAATTTTGAAAGACTAGCGGAATTTTAGATCTAATCTTCTCAAATAGAGCGTTCTATGCTTTTTTTTTTGCTTTGCCCCAGCCGTTTATTGCTAGGCATAATGGTTCGACCATGGGCCATTTGGCCAATAAGATCTTTCTTGAAATACAAAATGATCAAAGAAAAAAAATTGCATAGCTCGCTGGCGATAAGAAGGCGAAAAGTTCGCCTACATTTGTTATACTCGGCTGTTTGCGAGCCAGGCTTATCTGAGATTAGAAAACATAAGAGAAACAAGTAGATAGATAAGCAAATTGCGTCCAAACATGTTCCCTCATTCGAAATTCTTACACAGGGTCCTTCGGAATTTTCTGTATTATCGAGGAGCCCAGATAGCGGCGTGCTATCAAAATAAGCATATGGGAACGTGCGGAGATGATCTGATCGATCCTAATCCAAAAACCTCGATTCAAAACAACATCCTTTTTTTGCCAGTCCTTTCTTGCCAGAACAGATGATCAGGCCGTCAAGTGTTGTCTGAGTGTTAGCGGCAGTATCAATAGGCAGAAACCGTCGAATCCTACCACGACATGGTGTTTATTTTCGGTCCACCTTTTTTTCTGATATGATCGACTTCACTTTCGATGGGAGCCTCGTATCGAATTGCGGCCTCCGAGCAATCAGTTGGTAGAAGTTTTGCTTTGAATGCTCCTCCTCCACGCACCCACATTTGGCTCTCCCTCTCCAATCGCCCTTTCCCTTCCGCCGTTTGGGGGATGGGGAGGGGGTGTAGTCGCCAGGCAACTACTACGATATCAACGACGAGGTATCCGTGGAAGCGACGGCACCGAACCAGACTCCCTCCTACAAACAAATCCCAGATTGACTACTACGACGACAATGACTGTCTCTACTATAGCATTTATAATACTGCTATTACAACTGGCTCGTTGTCGCATCGGCGTCAACTCTTATTCTGCATAAACGGCGGGAGAAAGCCGTTCAGCCGAGCGTGCGCGGGACAGGCCGTCCGAATTGTATGTTATCTTTGATACAAAAAGAGGTACTTTCTATTTAAGGAGATCGTGCAAGTGCTATGATTCGGTTCTATTGAGTGATAACAAACATTCGATTGACAGCGCAAACAGTGAATACATGGTTTCTAAAGGTAGCATGGTTGGTCGTTCGATAAAAAAGAAAACCGTACATAGGTGGTGATACCTGTTCAGGATTGGCGGCTAGTGAATACTGTGACATAAATGCTGGACTGATCATAAAGCTGGACTGTCAGGGTCGGTGCGATTTTATAGCCTGAGCCTGCACATGCCCTTGATCCACTTTGGAGTATATTTGTTGTGGGATGAAGTGGACAGTCAGATACGCTTTAGGCACGCTCTGTAAGACGAGTGAGACTGGAATTGTCCTACTACAATATCGCCAGCCAGAATATACCATATATCAACCCAGTTTTTCGTTTAAAAAACAATTTAGTAAATGACTAGCGAGTCAATAAGACTTAATAAATTAAGCTCGGGGAATTAATTAGCCTTATTAAAGCCAAGTCAGCTAAGCCGAGTCTTAACGAAAAGCAGTTGCTATTCCGACAGAATCTAAGTGCTTCAAAAAGTGACAAAAAGCAAAAAAAAGATAGGATTCAGACCGGCCAACGGATATCACCAAGAAAAATCAGTGGTTCCTGCATTACTTCAATTCGCGTGGCGTCTCGTGCAGCAATAGCAGTAAGCAGCTGAAGGTTCTGAAAGGTAAAATCTAACAGTCGTTGTTCAATTCAAGGTAAGTTCATTGTCTTCATTCTTCAAGGTAGTTAACCCATGACGATGCTGTTGGAACTTAATGCCCTCACACAATGGTAGCGTTTGTAATTCAGTCATAGAGTTTTTCTATTCTTCATTCTACAAGTAGGAACAGTCTCACATTCTATTTGGTTTTTATTGAAGCATTTATTGAATTAAGATTTTTTCATGGTACATGAGAAGTCTACAGCCAATTAGCCTTGTACAATCATTGCACCTGCCGAAGCCTTAGAAATGAAAAATATTCTATTTTGTTGCTTTAAATAAAATCAATCTGAAAATTGTTCGCTGTTGCTTTAGCCCGGCAGGTAATTGTTCGTCTCTGAATTGTCGTTTTTAAATTAGCTCTTAACTTACACAAACTTCAGACGGGTACAAGCAGTTGCTCAATGCGCTTTAACCGTTACGGTTAACGCTATTGTGAGAGTTTTTCAGCAAAATACTGCCGGGAATATAGCCTATTAAACTTTCTTTTGTCAATCAAGTTAATTGGCTTGTTCTTACTAAGTTGATACCTCTAAAGGACGTCTTTATTTTAGGAAGCTGGTAAGTTTGTGCATCGTTTTGTAGCCTCTTTGTTATAATTACATCTTAATTGAACCTTATTTATCTAATAAATTTTAAACCACTCCTATCAAATCAGCATAATTCATTTATTAAAGGCATTTCAATGACTGTCGATTTGTATAATGACTATTACGTATTTTAACAATCGACAGTTAAGGCCAGGCTGATATCCTGCCACCTGTGAGCTATTCTTCGATATACTACATTAAATATTTCGGGTTTTACATCTGATATCGCCGTTGGGCATTCTATCAGACGACAGCTGACTAGAGAAACACATCGCAGTATGTCTACGAGCGGGTCCGTACCCAGACCGTTGCGTGTGTCTGAACTTTAGCAGGCGGAACACGTTACCCACCACGCTATCAAAACTAAATATCAATGTACTATACAATAATTAGTTACTGGTGACACATATTTATTCCGCGTGTAATAGATATGTTACTTCATACTCGTCGTATGGAAAGGTCGAGTTGACCATATCGGTGCCATTTATTTTGTCTTACACATGCGTCTGTTTGCTTTTTGCTTAGGTCTCTATTCTGAGAACGTTCGAGGTTCATCTCTAGATAGCATTATTCGCTATTCAGTTTTATGAACGGATGGTATAGTCATCTTAGGTGACAGGCACTCGGCTACGGGCTATATGAGGCACGACATGATTGCCGCTTCCTGTAGAGTTGGGTTGAGGCCAGGCATTGCAAAACACCGTCTGCGGATGAGTTTACAAAAGCCAGTCGGATATGCGTTAGGTCGCTCTGAGTTCATACTTAGCTGGACATATGTGCCCTGATGGAAATGTACTATTAGAAGCCACATGAGTAGGAATTAGTACTAAGAATACCCAGTTGGAATACCCGCGGATATTTTACATTTGTCGTATAACCTCAAAATGATGTTGAGAACGTTTAGAGCAGACGGTAATGCTCTTATTCAGATGGCCCCACATATTCTAGTCGTAGGGATGTTGATCTGGATCAGTACAACGAATGGTGTACCAACCGATACTGCAGTGCCTGCTTATTTAAGCGTCGGCCTTGCCTATCGTATGATATGTAAAGTAAATGGAGAACTGGTTAGGGACACTGTATATAGGTCGTAAAGGGAAAATGCTCCCTTTACAAGCGTTTGTCGTCTAGTTGATGTAGGCTACGGCGAACGGAGTAAGGCTCTACGAATGAAATTTAGATAAATACCTAAATATCGCACAAACGTAGTGGGAGATAAAGGTAACCATATAAAGCTCATCAGAAGGCTGAGCGTAAAGTGGATAAAAAAGAATCTATCAAAACAGTTTTTCTCTCGCCTAAATGCATCGATGCCCGCACACTACAGCTGTATTTTGGCTAACGATGAGTTCGTCTTCTGCAAACCCCTATGGTCTACTTCTGTAGCTTATATTGAAATGGTGCAATTCAGGAAGCGGTACCAGCTCTACGCCCATCTCCATTTCGTCCACCATCGAAACAAAGCGAGCCGCTGTTATCTTGATCGATAGCTCCAATATATTAGTTAGAGTCCGACTGACTAATTACATAAACGACACCTTACATAATCATTGAGAAAGCGCTCAGTCTGAAAGCTTGCCTATCGGAGTATTCGCACCTGCGTATATCAAAACGACATCCATTCTTTTCATCAATGCTGCAAAGATCGGCTTTTACCATGTCACATTATAGCAGGACATTACGGGACGCATCTGCACGCGGCCGGCTAGTACGTATAGTTGTAGCATAGATAACACGTTTTCCCATTGGCCATTGACACAATATGATTAGCTTTGCCAAATGACGTTCAACGAGCGGTTCCTATACAGCGACGCTGCCCAGTCATCTCTGACCACTGGGGCGTTCGACTATTGTAATACTTGAACCATGTCACCAACCATATTACTCACGAGCGTTTTCAACTCACCGATTTCACTAAAACAACCAGCTTCTAAATCGCCTTCGTCGCATAGCCGTTGGCCAACGCGTCTCAGAAAAAAAGCGAAGCAGCTTGAGCGATTCTTGTACGCTTTTAGCCTTTGAGTTAATTCTGTTCATAGTGGTGGAATCGCAGTAGCAGCATTTAAATGGCGAACCCAGAGCAACAACAAAACAACAGCAATAGCCATAACGAGAGGAACGCGGGTACATCCGGTCTTAACCGACTGTGTCGATGCTGGCCGACATCTGGTTACCAGGTTCTTGTACCCTAGCGGAGAAGCTTTTGTCCATCCTCACAAAAAATGAAACAACCCCTATACGGACCAGGAGCTCGTACCTAGTCATTCCAGACATGGAGCGGGCATCGTTAGCAGGAGTGGTGATAAAAGACCGACGTGTCGTTACCAGTCATCGCGTAGCTGACTAGTGAAACCGGGGGGGGGGGCAACTGAGAACAGTTTGAGAACGACCATAATTTCGCTTGGAGGCACTAGCCGTGGTCGTGTCCCTACAATGCGCTGCTAGCTAAAGTATGCATGATGCAGGGATTATTAAAGAAACTTGTTAAATATTCCGATTACTAGACACTGTAAAATAAGATTAGCTTGTATTGAGAAGCAACAAAAATAATATTCGTTGATAGTTCTACGCTCAGTCAAAGGGCATAGTTTTGAAACACTGTCACGGTCAAAGGTTACAATATATTTAAAAAAAAAATGTTTTATGTTATGGCCTATCTGTAAGGTATCATCTACATATAGGACATCGAAGTTCGTTAGGTGGCCGACTGTTGTTGAAAATACGCCCAACATAAAATTACAAAGTAAGCAGCCTGCTTTCGCTTATTACCTGACCGCGCGTTATTCTGTCTACAATACAAAACAATCAGCACACGATTATATAGCTGGCCTGAGGTATCAAACTTGAACAGAGAAAGAAACATACGCGCAACAGTTCCCGAAACACTAGTTATAGAAACGCTATATTAAAATATATAGGCAAAGCTAACATATGAGCATAAAAACATTAACATGATAAATAACAGAACGCGTCTGCGTGAACATATTGTTTTACGCGCATTACACAGCTCATGTATACAGCCACGAATTTCCGTTAACACGAACCTATCGGAATACGTCTATAGCACAATTTTTATTACCTGACTACATAATAATAGAGCGTCTATCATGAAGAGTTGTCCTGCCACCAAACTTGCTGAAGCACGCCCCAAAAACTACTCCATCTATTTCAGCCCTTTCTAAAAATCGACCTGAAGAACTTCGAGAGCCAACAAGTCGACAACGAAGAAGACAAAAGGAAAAAGACGGTAGCCTACAGAAGTCGGTATACTTCACTACATCTTTTATAACGATAAGCAACAACCTCACAGCAACAACCAGCGCCACTGCCTCTGTTTAAGACGTTATCGTTCACACGAAAGGAACTTTGTCCTGTGGCTTTCGTCACACTCACCATTTCTCTTAGCCTCCACTACTAGGACAACGTATATTACGCTTGGCCTGTTAGTTTGTTCAGATAGTTACAGATAGAACAGAGACAACAGATCTGGCTAGCGATCGTAGGCAGCGAAACGGGAATGTTTTGCGTTTCAGGCTGTGCCCGCTATAGCAGCAGCAGCAGCAGAGGCTGGCGGTATGTTTTTGTGTTTCTGGTAGCGATGCGTCGACGTATTTTCACAGCGGACGCCGCGGCAACAGTGAGTAGCCTAAATAGCTGACGGCGCTAGCTAAGATTTCCTGATGCATCAGACAACCTTTCTCACTCAGTTCTGGCAGCGATCCATTCATTGAGATGGCGATCCGGAGACGGTTGATCGTGGCGACAATTGTCTGGTCATTCTGTTTAGACGTTAGTTCCCCTAGAGCGGGGCAGAACCGCTGCAGTGGGGGGCAGCAGCAGTAGCGATCGTCCGGTGCCCTCTCAACCAAAAGGAATCAGCGAGAGACACATAGGCAATGGACAAGAGATGACGCGGAGATTGTAATGATCAGATTTTACTCTTTATGTTGAGACCTTCTTGCTTTTCAATGACCCATAGCAGTCGGTTGTTGAGGCTTACGTGTTGATGTCGCCGGCGATGATGACGCTAACGAACGCTTGACTTGATGTATACATGCTAGGTTCTGCCTGGCGAAGATTTAATGCTATATTGATAAAGGCTAGACCCAATGGGCTAGGTACATATCACCAAGACTTGATGATAACACAGCAGTGACGTCACGATCACCGCAGAACGTTCTACTTTGGCAATGCTTCTTGTGCTGTCGGCGTCATGTATTGCTTTTTGCGGTACAGTTGTGTTAATACAACGACTAGTTTATGCGTACAATTGTCCTTCACGGATAACTGGGGGTGCCGAATACTGCTGTATTGGAAACAGGTGGGGGAGGCGACAAAGGGAACGGTCAGTCAGCTGTAAGTCTGTTTTAAGTTAGAATCACGCTGCGCGAATTATTTCGATAGAAGTGTCTATTAAAAAAGAAAAAAAAAAAAAAAAAAGTAGCACTATTTTCAAGCAAGTTCCACCTTGAAAATGTCTAAAACTGCATGAATTTGCTCAACTGGTTTGCTTTATTGTATACTGAATTGAGCAGGTGAAGCTACGAAGATCTAACTTCCGTACGTCACTGCTTAGTTGCGGCATCAGCGAGCAAGCATTGTTATTCTGTTCGTTGAACGCTACTACGCTGGTTGAGTAACTTTGACAGGCTATTTAGTCCTTTCTCCTTTAAGGCCTCACAGATCAATGTTGTGCTGTCCAATACTTCTTTTAGCTGTTAGAAGATTTTTGCCCTATGATTGTCAGTTGCGTCACATAGCAATCACAGCTTCCATTTCCGGCCGTCTCTCTGTAGATAGACCAGCTCGTCTAGTAGACTTTCAGATGTGTGGGGCAAGAAAATTCAATCGAGGAAAGCCATATTCACGAACTCAAAATGTGAGACATTCAACGAGCTTCAAGCAGGAGAGGCCTAGTTATAAACACGATCCGAAAGCACAGCTAGACTTGACACATTGATGTGGTATTCAAGTTGGGCATTGACCCGAAACTTGGTCAGAGGAGTGGTTAAACAATAGTACCCAACTTATAGGGTTTGCCGTAGGTCTAATGATGGGAAACATTACGGGGGTAATGAAGTATCGTTTTTTCTTTTGATAGACAAATCTCATCGGCGTGCAGGTCTTTCGTTCGGCATTAACCTGCTGCCCCTCGTGAGTCTGATGAAGGCGAAGAAAGAACGAAATAAAATTAAAGGTCACATTGTCCGCTCAACATCGGTAGATTCACAAAAGGCCAAAACGATGGGTAAAAAGGCCGATGCAGTGGTCACAGGGCAAGGACAGTTTGATACTACGGTCTTGATGGATGGCATCGCCGCTTCACAGATGACCCGTACTCAGGTAAGCACCTGTCAAGCAGTTTCATCTAACATGAATGAGTGGCAAAAGTTTGTTAACGGTAAGAAAAAAAAATACAGCAGTACAGACTTATTCCTAAACTATCAAGAGAGTTTTGGTTCCGTTTCGTATAACTGCTAGTAGTTAGAACAAACGAAGTACGATTTGAATTTAGTTCGTACAAAGATGAACTTAAAGTGAACTCGAATGTTATTACCGTTATTGTTCTTTGTGGCTTTCGTTTATCAATGGGGTTGAGGAAATTCAACAGTATTGTATAATTGATTTTCTTCAGATATGCTGGTCCTAATAGCTCTCCGAATGATTTGCAGCTAATTCAAGTCGTGGCCCAGCTTCTCGAGGAGCAGGGCAAGTGGGCTCGGCGAAGAGAAGATGAAATATTAAAACGGCGAAGGCAAACTGAAGAAGCTTTACAAGAGAGAATGCGGCAACTTCATGACCACCTCACCCGAGAACATCGACAGCATATGCAGGCTCTCGTGCAAGTGAGTGCAAGACTTTTCAGTTATCTATTAATTATACATTCAACATAAACATAACGACACATTATCAAACACGCATAGTGCGGTCAGCGTATCTTGATTATGCCAAAAGCTATTCGCGTACATGGAGAATGTCTGGGAAGCTTGGGAATACATCCATATAGAATAGATTCAATGTTCAGTGCGTCTATAGCTATGTCGGACGTCTTGCCGCCCAGATTGATACCGAACTCTATAGAGTGATGCGTACAAATAAAAGTCATTCAAAATGTGACGAGTACACCGTATGACGTATGATATTTGCCATATGGTCGTCTAGCGTCATGAGATGCAGCTCGAAACGGTTCGACTGGAAATCGAAAGCAGAGTAGAACAGACACGACTGAGAGCCGAACAGAATAAATTTGAAGAACTGCAACGAGCTCGCGATAAGTACCGCGAAGATGTAGACCGATTGATTTGTGCCGAACAGAACAGGTGAGGAATTTCACTTCAACTTTTATTAGCGTCGATAAGGTCGTCAGCGTGTCAGAACTGACGTATTATAATGCGTTCATTGAATTTGTCGTTTGTGCAGTCAACGGGCTCCGCAGCGTGCATGTTATATTAAGACAATGCTATAAACAATTTACTCTGCAGGTTGGAACGAACCCTGAAAGACGCAAAGGAAAACTGCGAGCATATACTTAAGGTCAACGTTGCCTATATCGAGAAGTTGCAGGTTAGAACAGTGGTTTTACCGAGCTAATATACAAAAAGTGCAGAAGTTTTCATCGCAACAATCTACAGAGTGCATACAATCTAAAAATAGCTATATGAGGAAAACTGACCTCATAAATTGGAAATTAGAAAAAAGCCCACCTGGATTTCCGAGGCGCATCATATCTACGCTTAAAAACTAAAGGGAACTTAATCTGCTACTTTGCCTTTCAGGCAGAGCAAAATTCAATAAGAGCGAGATGTGATCATCTTGACGAGCAAAACCAGCTTCTGAAGAGGCAGCTGAAGTTTGCCACACAAAAAGTCCAGCAGCTGATGGTGGAAAATAGAGATTTGACGACAAAGCTCAACAAATTTAAGGGCGAACGGAGCAAACTAGATGTATGTGGCAATAGCTTGTATACTCACTTCAGTAGATGGTCACTATCGGCGTTTTATGCATTGTTTTTAGCGCCAACCTTTTCCGTCATGTGTTTAGCTCATATAACATTATAAAACATCGTGCATGTATAACTTATGAGTGAGTGAATCAATATCGTCAAGTGGACGTACACGCGACAGCTTCAGACTTCTAATTCGGGTTGTCCTATACCGTAGATTATTTCAGCTTAAGACTCCAGTGCGTAAGTTCTTAACTAAATGCGATCGATTTGCAGACATAAATAACATATATGTTTTGCTGGGCTATCCTCCAAAGCGGGCTAATCTGGATCGAGCTGGAATTCTATTAAAGCGTTTTTATTAAGATTTAACACGAGCATTACAAGGAAGTATTAGCCTACCATGAATTTCAAGTAGATACAAGTTCCTACGAATCATTTCAGTTCCGTAAGTTACGTTATTTGAACAAAATATTTGAATTCTGTTTCAGTTAGGCGAAACGAAACTATTTAATTACAAGGAGTAAATGATTATGCGCATGTCCAGACACGAAGTTCTTAATAGAATACAGAACTAAACGTGGTAGAGTCAAAAATATCCGAAGTTGAGTGTATATCTTCTAATCTACATATTGAAATTAGATGAATAATCGTGTTGACATCTTCTGATGTAATAATTGTTTATGCAATACATTAGTAGTACAAAAACAATCTTTTTTTTTTCTACTTAGCTTGTGCGTGATTTATAATTTCTGATATGAAGAAAAATGTAATTGAATTTGCAGTTATAATAACAGCAGCCACTACTATTACAGCAACTTCGTGAAGAAACTTTCAAGCTTGCCAGTGATAATCGTCTGCTGAAGTCTGAAGTCTTATTGGCCGAGGAATACTTCCAAAAAGCTGCTGAGGAACGCGACGAGCTCTATTCGAACTTCGTTGATGCGCTTAATCAGATACACCTTCGTTCAAGTCTCAAAAGCGCTCAGGTATGCTGGTTTACAGTTTTTTTTTAAAGTAAAAATAATCCGTAAAATGCCTAAAAAAAAAAGACGAATTCACAAGCTACCACCTTTCCTAGCAGTACGTACTTGAGTTTGATCTTGTTAACCAAGCCTACATACATCATTCGGAATACTCGAAATGCTGAAACATACGAAAAGCCCCTTGAGTGACTCATAGAAAAGTTCTTTTTTTTTTTATGTCTTGCGTCAGGTTCGACAGCAGCTAGATGTTCTACTGGGAACTCCGCCTGGGTCATCGGCGGCAAGTACAGCCGGTAGTGATATTGGAAGTGGACAAATCCCAGACCGCGCAGATGATGAAACCACAACATTAAGTGGCATTGAAAAACTCTCGCTGGATAATATTGAACATCATAAATAGTGAATTAACATTATTAAAATGCTAATTAAACCAAATCAATTTTTGTTGTTCAATTTCACATTCATAACTTACCCGTAGTTGTTGTCGGAAGCTAAAATTTCTTTATACCTCTTGCCCTCTTCAACAAGGGGAAGCGCATTAATATTCACTAATAATAACGACAATAGTAAGAAATGCATTCACACAGACCCAGAGGATACTGTGAAATTTACATCATTACAGAACGACGTCCGAACCTGAGTATCTTTTTCTCTTTTGGTACGTAACGGTACAGTTATAATGTGAATGCTATTGCAGAAAAATTTATAACTTTTTTTCCTTTAAAAACCATCGACGTTACATGAAAGATTGGACGCGAATTAGGACACCAGACAGTGTTTTCTAGTGTTCATGTTTATAAATTACATATATAGTTCAGTAAGTAGTAACTTCACACTTAGGTTGATTAGCGATGTCTTAGAGTGTACGAACTTTCCTGAGGTTAATGCCAGCCATAGTTGGCCGGTAGGAACTCTAGAAATTGCTGTCGTTTTGCTTTATATGTACTCAACGTACTGAGGCTAAGAATCGTATAACATCACAGACACAATGCTGCGGTGAAGAGATACTAATCGGTAACGTTTTATCGAATCATCGGTCGATCTTCCTGTCTTGTTCGATATAGATCATTATATGCTTGGATGTAATAGCAAAGTGCATGCAGAGTCTGATTTTGCCGATTATTATGGTTCACTACCTTATCAAGAGCCCTTACTCTGCTCGTTTTTGTGCCTTAAGAGTATTAGTTCAGCCTGATGAAGTAATATCTTACGAAGGAAAATACACACCACTTAATATGGGCATGTCTGAATATAGCGCATACCAAATCTTTCAATCGCCGAGCATCGGTATCGCTGACATTCACGTATCTCAAACGTATGGCGAGGCAATAGAGAAATCATAAGTGTGGATTACGGATGCAGCGCATCATAACCAAGAGATCTGTACGTTCCCGCGAGGCATCGTGCCTCCAACGACCGTAAGGTTGTGTCATATAGAGTTGCTCTAAGGGTTGTGCGAGTTGCCACTCTAAAAATAGCCCTAAAAACAGTAGGACCTAACATTAGCCCTCTCCTTTTAGGAGCATTCGGAAGCAACGCGAAGTTAGCTAGTTAAGATTTGCCGCTGGCCAGCTCTCGGGTGCCAGGAATCACTCATAGTTTCCGCTTCTTGAAGCTTTTATAGCTCTACTATGACAAATGGCCCCGTGGTGTTCAATTGAAACCATCGGGGCTTCGTAGCCACGCATCCTTCACATAAATCCAGCCAGAGTTGCTAGCGTTACTAGCACTTTTTCTCTTCTAAACGCGATATCTTTTTTCTTCAGGCTTTCAACGATACGATGTCTCGAGTCGTACGTAACTTTTTCTTAAATTAGTCACTTCTGTTAATTTTTAATTACCTTTGAAAAATGCTGCATTTTATGAGTAGCGGAAGTCTTCACATCGACGAGGGTCGTTCATGCTGAAAAAACATTCCGATAATTTTGTGGAAATTATTTTTTTTGTATTCCGGAAGGTTTATAAGAATTATCCGGATTGTCTTACTGGTACTTGACACAATCATAACAGCATATCTAAACCTGTTTAACTAGAATAACACAAATATGATTTAATGTCAAAAAATAAATAAATAAA